CAGCAGGAAAGGCCTCCAACTCCATTTCACAGGGATCCAATCCGTCGGAACCGTATCGAAACTGTACAATGTCACCTCTGCTGTCGCGCACCGTCCCATCGTAGGTGACAGTAAGGTCTTCCAGGAACTAAAATATTGAACAAGACGGTCATGCCAAGCGTAAGTAAACTAAAGGAAAATCGTTCGGAAAGTTGCCGACCAATGCTATACTGATGAAAAGTAAGAGGAATCAATGCTCACAAAACACGGCATTTTCTGAACAATGCAATGTAGAGGTGTGCCATTGCACTCCCAGATACCCGAACTAGATATGCTCCTTCTATTTGAAAGACGTTAATATCGTTTTAGAGAAGCCATATTGCAAGATCTGACCAGTCGAATACTGAAACCAATGAAAACCGCTCAAGTTTGGGTACAACTATTAAATCTACAAAACTGAAATGGTCCGACCAAGTGGTAGGGAGTTCTCTTCGGTTAACCCTAAATCAGCTCCCAGTATAGTCAGGTCAGGTTTATTAAAGGAAATATAGATAAAAGGCCTTCGAGTTCTCTATTGGTACACAGTAGAGAAGAAATGCATCGGTACAGAAGGACATTTCAAAAGAGGTCGTTTACATAATTGCAGGTGAAAGTCGGTCAGTTCGGAAAAGTAAACATGCACGACTACTCACTTGTCCCGAGTAATATAATCACACGTGGGGATATCAGTTGACACGAGCCAGAAAGTGTAACTGAGCAAAAAGAGCAGACAGTGGAAAAACTCCTAAGGCATGGCCCAGAAATTCTAGAAGTTGAAGCTTCCTGTGTGGGATTTTTAGGGGCAAAAAACTGTCACTCGTGTAAAGCCTGGGAGTCGAACCCGGTCCGTCCGACCAAAAAGGTTACATGGTAGCCACTAGACTACCTAGCAATGTGGGCGCGAACGAAGTACAAACCATGGTTGTCGGTTACACATCTGGGAGAGCACACATCAAACTGCCAAGAAAGCAAATATAGAGTATTGCATAGTATTCGTTTGCAGTCTATGGCGGGAGGGGGTTATGAGCTGGGACCCACGCTGTAGCAGTATGGTTATTCTCGGTTCGTCCACGCGGTTCGGTGGTCGTCTCACGGCCTTATACTGACTAGAATGCCCTGCCATAGATACACTATTAGCAACTGTACGTTTGAAGTGCTAACAAACGTGACACCACTAAGACCGAATACAGCGGGCACGAACACGATAATAGCAACTAATTTCTAACAATATAATGACAGCCCCTGGGATAGGCATTGTTGAATGTGGTGGGTATCTCTACTCTACCTCGTCTTCACACCCAACTAGCTTCCGCGATGCAACGAGGCCGTTCTCAGCAAGGTCACAGCCAAGTGACCGT